CAAATCAATAATTCGATTACAGTTCAGACTATCTTTGGGTGTACTTCTAGTAACAGATTTAAACAAAAATCTTAATTTTTGGGCCATTTTAGACTAACCCTATTGAATCTCTTCGTAAATGCCACCACATTAGGTGCCACAGTCAATTTGTTCAGTTTGGTCCAGCCACATGTTGTCAATTCTTCAGGCTTGATAGCTTTAAAACAGGGTAAGTCAAGTAATGTCAGTTGATTTCCAACATCATCAGGACTCAGCCTCAGGGCTGAACAAACTATATCATCCCAAGACTGATTAATTGAACAAGCAGCTGGTAGACTGTTTGTTTTGTAATGAAAAATGGAATCATGTTGACGGTTGCTGCCATTTTCACCATGTCTGTAATAGGATTTTTTTTTAACATATTACTTTTGTACGTTATGAGAACAAATACACTTTCAAAGATTTTTATTCGATTTTCAGAGGCTTCTTTTACTTTTATTTTATTTATTATTGCATGTTGGTGAAAGAGCACATTATTCATCTGGTTTTATGTGGTTACTAGAACTCATAGCCATCATTACAATGAGAATGAGGCATGAGATTGATCTTGTTTAGTGCAATAGTTCAGTTAAATCTTATTTTGCAAACATGCCATCCAAAAAAGATACTCACCAGATGAAAAAACCAGTAATACCCTATTTACATTAGTTTCCAGTTAGAAATGAGCATTAAAATATATTTTTTAAAATATTTGAACAACACTAACACCTGAAAATCAGGTTGTAGTGTGACAAAAATCATTTAGTTTAGTCAATTATATATATCTACACTTGAAAGGCAAACGTGACTAAGAGACAATAACTGCTTTGTACATAAATGATAGGCATAAACCATATTCGATGCGCAAATATATATTTCTAGGTCTATTAAAATCATCTCAATCCTACAGCTAGATTCGGTAAAATAGATTTTTTCAGGTATTTCAATTTTAAATTAGTCTGCTGTAAAGTTCACGCATTGTCGCTTAGTGACATTTGCCTTTCAAGCGTCGATATATTCATATTAGTATGTTCATTGATAAGATTTCATTTAACGTTATTTAAAATTACTCTGATAGTTAAAAGTGCAGTTTGGTTCATGATCATTGCTTGGTCCCATTATTCACATGTACAAATGTCCAATGAGGATTCTTAGTATATTTTATACAAGACCATTAATATACAAAAATCACTGGGATTCTAAACTTCGATTTTTTTTATTATATCCCATACATATCCTTGTGTGTTTCTTGATTTGATATTGGCATTGCAATAATAAAATGTAACGTGAAATATAAAAGACATTATCATCAGGTGAAAGTTTAGTCTGTTCAGGGATAACGAGAAATAACACAGTACAATAACTCAATAGTTTCCCTTTTGAAGTTTATGAACATAAAGTAAGCAGATTATAATTGTTACAAAATGGAACTTACCCATAATTGTAATAGCAAGCACAGTCATCTTTAGTGAAGCTTTGTTGACTATTGAGAGGGATAGTGGACTGCTTCTTGTGATTAATCTTGCATGGTTTGTCCTCAAGAGGCCAATTCTCTTCATCTTCATGCTTAACACAAGAAAAAAACTTCTTTTTACATTGGAAATACCCAAATTGTTTTACTTAGAAATAAATTTATTGAAAAATTAAAAACAATATGTGATTTGACGAATCTATATAATTACTGTCTTATTAGCTTAAATTCTTGTTGAGGAACCTTATCTTGGCTGTGTGGTGTCAAACGAGATTAGCTGCACCTTTAAAAAAGGTTTCATAAAGACGACTAAGGGATTCACCACAGAATTGTCAGTGGTGATCTCTAAGTCTTATACCAGGGTACCTTGATCACCCAACTACAGTTACAGATGGTAAGGCATATTTTAAACTCCATGGATAACATCAAACCACCATTCTATTTATTTCTGATGTAAAGTAGTCATGTACTTCAGTTTCATAACTAAAATAGTCGATATACCATAAATTTAGACTTTTACCTCATACTTCAAGTAGGTAACCACATTAACATTGTGACTTCTGAGGGCTTACATCAGATGAGCAAGTACAATGATCACTGCATATCTTTGGTGGTAGGAGGTTGTGTTCTTGCACTGTTAGGTACCACCACCCCACCTATTTTTGCCATGCAGCAGTAAAGTGCATTAACGTTAGAAGAGTAGAGCAGCCTTTGTATTATAAAACAGAGTCTTAGAGCTCATGTCTCAAAATGATTAGCAGCATTGATGTTTTTATGTACATTGGTTCCGATAACCACTTTACTGTTTGTGGGTTGTGAATTTGACAACCCATCTAAGAAATAAAATCTACAGATAATAAATACAACAAATAAAGCTTTGGTATTCCAAAATGTATTAACAGAATTTTGTATTTTATTTTTAACTATGGTCTTGAATTGAGACTTACTAGTGTACTAATATATTTTTACCTACATTTTACTTTATGTCTTTCATATCAAGAAATATCTAAATATTTGTAGTTTTTTTGTGGGGTTATTTCTATATATGACCTACTAATTTATGATCAAATACTATTAAAAATACAATTTGCCTGATAAAACTTTAAAAATAGACTTTGAACTAAGCAATACTGCACAATAATAACTAAAAAGTTAAGCATAATGCAAGTAAATGGTAAATTTATGTAAAATATTACCTCCACAATTCTCAACACAGCAAGGCTGTCACTCAATATGTCTCGAGGCATTTCAGTCTTCTAACATAACCAACACTTCCCAATAAGATAGATGTCTAAAGGAACAAGTCAAGCATCATAATTTTATCATTTGGGAATAATTCTGATTAAGGACTGCTATATAAACATTTTATATAACATTTCACAGAAATATGTCATGTATTACAAATTAATGAATTTAATTATTCTTTAAGCTGGTATAAGTATTTCACTAATAGCATCTTAGTTCAAATGATATAGATATTATACCCATACATTTCCTAATTAATTTAGAACAAGTATATTAACATTTTTTGATGATTTACTTGGAAATTTGAATTTCTTTACATTTGATTGTTTTCTGTTTATTTCAAACTCGAAATCATATTAGGGGGCATAAAATTCTAAAATTAATTACAACTGACCTTCTCTTTAGTTAAAAGTTGCCATTTTAAATAACAATAACATTTCCATTAACAGTAATGTACCCTTAAAATTCGATTTCTTGTGAAGACAAACCATAACAATTGGACAATTATAGAAAATCAATAATACATTCTGGTTTATGTATATATAATACTTGTATATATTCAACAAAATAAAACCTTAGGGACTAAATTCTCTTTGCCGTCAACTGAACGAAGAGGAGGACCAACAGTTGCTTTAATTTGACTTTTGAATGAAACTAAAAGTACTCTATGGTTTGACCGTGACAGTTGTAAAATAAGACTTTTTGGCGGGAAAGTGAGGAGCGAAGTTGTGTGATTTGCTTTATATTTTTATCTATTTGGTGTTTCTTCAAATGTGTAATAACGGTGGTTTATGAACTGTTTAGTATTTGTGAAAGTACAGAAGTCGGAAAATGAAACAAAGCCGCTGAACGTAAATTCTCGGGATCCTCCAAATAGTCTACTAATAAAGTCTCAGTAAATAACTACCATTTTGCTGAAATTATATTTCATTTCATTTTGTTTCGTTTCGTTTCGTTTCGTTTCATTTCATTTCGTTTCTCGTCTCGTCTCGTCTTGTCTCGTCTCGTCTAGTCTCATTTCATTTCATTTCGTTTCATTTCATGCTGTGTTTCATATTAATCAACTTCATTTCATTTCATAATATCATTTTTCTTATAATTTTTTTTCAATTAAATTAAAATAAGACTTGACCTAAAGGTCTTAGTTACCAGGTCATAAAATCCCTTAAAAAAAATAGTTGTAAAATAACAGGTTTTTAGGCTACCTACTTTACCGACTTCATTTAGAAAGAATAATAGTCCCTGAAACGAACTCATGGATAATATTGAACCCACATTATACAAACGATGTCGTGGATTTTAGGTGAGAAAATTAATGAATTGACATAATTTCTCAAAATTATCAAAATTTATTGAGACTTCTAAGATATTTTTAAATCAAAGCGATGGACAATTTCCAGCGCTTTTTTTCATTGCAATATATTTTTTCACACTTACATACAGTGAGAATATAAGCCGCCATTATTACATATTTGAACCTCAAACAGCATTAAATTTACAACAATATAAACATAGTACACTTAATCGGTGATATTATGTTTTTTCTCAAGTTCCCGTCAAAATCCAAAATAATACATTGATAATTTTTTAAATATATAAAGATTATCAATAAAGAGAATAATAGGTACGCGTTAATACATTAGAGTGGCAATTTTAGAGTCAGGCGGGTTTTGAAAATAAATCTTCGTGATTATTGGAATCAAGACGTAATTAACTTAAAACTATTCTTTAAATATGTCTACAAATTCTGTTTTTATCGTATGAAAATTCAAACGTAATTTAAATAAAACTCATCAAAAATATTAATTACTAAATAATCCTACACAGCCGATGCAAACGAGTACAACTATATCTACCCTCGTCGATTAAATTCAAAGGAGCGGGTAAAAGCAAAAGCAAGTCAGGCTCCACCTCTGTGTTTTTTTTTGGGTCCTTTGATTTTAAAGTTCGAGATGAGAAGCAGCCTATTTGTGCTCTAAACTAATGCTGTTACTAATAGTAGTGTGTTACTAACAATATTATATAGTGTCTTACTATACAGTGTACTGACATACCAGGTCCTGCTGTTTTATTAAGTATTTATTATAAACTTATTATCCTACCGTTGTGGTTGAATTTTTCACATAAATTTTAATAAATAATGAAATACGATTTATGAAATTCATGGTTCTAAGAATTTCAATAAATGTTAATTTTGTCTATGATTCCCAAGAAGAGAGAAGTAAAGCCAATGCTACAATAAATAAAAAAGGAGGAAAAACAAAAAGAAGTACATACCTACATGGTACAATTTTACTTCCGTTGTATAGACTAACGTTTTATTTCTATTTATTGTATACATCGCAGTTGCAGTTGATAATATAGTGTGTAAGATTGCAGTAAATGGAAGGTAAATAGCTTCATTAGTTCTAAAGAGATGAGCAAACGATCGGAGTAAAAAATATGTAATTGAAACTCGGTTATTAATTTGGCCACTCGTAAGTAAACTGTTATGGCGTTTATGTCGCTTTTTGAACACAACGCATAACATCAGATTAAATAAGTAAAATTCCGGAATTATTAAATTAATTGAGTAAATTTGAGGTGTATCAATGTAACTGTCATATAAAGTCGAAATATTAATAAAGAACGGAAACGCATAGTGACATCGTACGGCTGATAGGTTATGTTTCCATCTTTTATTGGCATTTTAGGTTTGTTAGAGTGAAAGCGAACACCAGTTAATTGTTTTCTCGGGAAGAATACCGTCAAAAGTGATGTCTGAATGAATTTCTCACGGTTTTTAGACATCCAATCATGGTGGGAAGTGCCCAGTATTGCGTACTTTTGTTCCCTATTCAGGACTGCATTCAACCTCTTGGATTTTGATATTGAAGTAAGTTGTTTATTATGTTTGTAGCTTTTTTACAATTGTTTACATATATACGTACCGAGATAGAATAAATATTTAAATTATATTTTAGGAATTGGAAGAAGCACTTCTCACAGATGGCACAGAAGAATCTGCCAGTTCCCTCCTGACTGAATTGATAGTCCGTCTATTGAACGGTTGTTTAGGCAACAATGACGTTTCTGCATTTAATTATCAGGTAAATGTAGTTTTCTTTTTGTCAAAATAAACAGTTTGAACTTACAATCTTAAAATTTTTATCTTAGTATACTCAAAATAATATGTTCAAAATAATAATGTATTACTTATTTTTAGATGTATTTAAGAAGATTGTTTAGAAGAAAATGTCAAGAAACTGGCCGGTACAATCCCTTCAATACTGACATTGATTTTCAATTTCTGCCTTTGCGGACAAAGGTAGAAATATTATATGCGTTGTGTGATTTCCGTTTGGATGCTGAAGATGTATTTGATTTATTCAAAAATTTGGAAGCAGAAAGCTTACGAGTAGAACCTCTTGGGTATGTTAATAAGTTTACAAATACACAGGATGTACATTGTAATTTTTGAGATTGATTTAATTGTTATCTATGTTTTTAGATGGGATGACAATGATTCTGCTTACTGGTATTTCTATGGAACAAGGTTATATCGTGAGGATTTATTGAGAAAACCAAAAGCAAAAACAAAAAAGAAAAAAAGTAAAGAAAGCAGGAAACGTGGCTGGTTTTATGGAGATGACTGGCTTGATGACGATGAGACAGAACGGGTTTGGCAGGTTGTGTGCTTTACGGAAGATGACTGGGCCCACTTGACTGAGAAATTTAGCAAGGCAACAAGCAAAGTTGAAAAGGAATTGTATCGTTCATTATCACAAAACTTCTTACCTGAAATACCCCGATTGTTTCAAGAAAAAGAACGATTACAAAGAAAAAGGTAAAATAATGAGTTTTTCAGTTTTACTTGCTTTACTATACCATACATGGTTAAAAGGGCATTGTCCCAATCAAATTAGTCACTAGTTAGTCAGATAGTTATTACATATTTCTCTTTGTTACAACAGTTAATGAATGAACCATAACATATAAAAAATAAAATGCTTAGCGAAACATTTAATTTTTTGTTATCTCAAACAAGGTAATTTTGATTTTGTTTAAAAACCTCAGTAAAATATTTTCATAAAATCCCTCCAACAAGACAATGCTGCAACTACTAAACTTATCTAGAACTATTGTTTATGGTGAGATATGATTTTATTTGAGTTCACCAATAGCATTAGATATTTTATATATTAGTTGTTTCCAAAAATCAAATTGCTATCACTATTATATTATATTATATAATATAACTTTACTTTTGCTTTGTATTTGACTGAAAAAGATATTCCCAATTCCAAAAACTTTGTTTGTGAATAGAAAAGGACTAACCACATTTGTTGCAAAGTACTGTTATAGTCATTCCATGATTCATACAATGATAATAAATATATTTCATATCAGTTACAAAATTTTGTATAATAATATATGTAAAGGGTACACATGCAGAAATAAAAAAAAAGCAATTCTGTTTATTTATAACTGTCAAAAGCACAATTTGATGAAACAATTACCAGTAATTTTTAAGTGTAAATTCTTTATTAATAGTATGCCAAAGGTATACCTACCTACCTGACAAAATTAAATACTAAAGAAAGTAATTATAATGTCTTCCATCTGATACCCTCAAGATAGAACTGAGCTACTAATCTATTAGTATTTATAAATTCCAATATTGATTGAATGCCCTCATTTAATTATATACTAATACTAATATTTTGAATTGTCCTTTAAAAAATACCAGTCAATGTTGAATACAATAATTTTTCTCAATTTTAAAATGCTTGCACAAGTCTTTACTGTTATTTTCCTACAGGCTTATTCTGCTGCGAAATATCAGCAAATGTCTGCTATAGCGAATTACGCATGCATTGCGAACACCATAAAATATATTTTAAATAACCAAGCATGTTAAACAGAGCGAATTACTTGATTAGGCAGAATCAAAATAAGTTAAAATATTTTTGCCTTGCCTATAACAGAAAATGGCCTTCAATAAAACTATTCTTCTTTGCCTTAAAAACTTGCGCACATGGTGAACTATAAAAGAAAAACAAATGTAAGGCTATTATTAATGGTCAACAAAAATTTTCAAGTGCTATAGAATACAGTTTGTCCCACCTGAAGCCAAGAAAATCTTAACTATAATGTAAAATTAATAATAAGAGAAGAATAAATTTTACTTTTACATTGAGGTTTTTAAACAAAATGCTCACCTATTTTACCTAGATAAACATTTAAAAATAGTAAAATAGTTTCATTTTTTTTATTTAATTCTCTGACTTACTGGATACCTTTTTATAAGGTTGCTTGAATTGCCACGACGTACATCGAGTCGTGTGTTGCAAAAAATTAAGCAGAAGGAAGAAGAAGGTAAACCAAACACACATGATGCTAAACAAGAAAGTCACAAAAAGGACACAACAGTTCTTTCACGTGAAAATCGGGCCAAAAGAAGAAACTTACTGAGGTAAAATTTAAAAGCATTTTTCTAATATCTTTCAAAAAAATACAGGTTGAACTATGAATAAGATATCTCCTACATACTTTGAGAGTATAATTTTGCCATATAGGCAATCATCTGTATTTTTTTCCAGGTTTGGTAAGTTATGGAAAACCAATGTTTCATTTCGATTCATTTTGCAGATCTAAGTCTGTGTCATCAGACACTTCAGCAAATACAGAAAATAATACAGAAGATATGCCACAGAAAGTGTCAAAACGTGCAAAGAGTCAAGAAAAAAAGTCAAAAAACTCCTCTTCATCTCAAAAGGGTGAACCCCCACCAGAACCTCCAGTGAAACCTGGGAGAAAAACTAACAATTCTTTAGCATCTGCAACAGGCCAAATCTTAATACCAGATAATGATGAACCACAAAACAGTACTCGGAAAAAGCTGAAAACATCACAAATGTAATAAAATCATAATAAAATTGAAACAGCAAGTATATTAATTGTGTCATGTAAAGTATCTTTGTGTTAAACAAAAAAATATTTCAGATTCAGTCAAAGTGAGGAAGATATACAAACGGATATGTATAAGGTCTTGGAACAGTTAACTGCACATGAAGATGCATGGCCTTTTATGGATCCTGTAGAGGAAGAATATGCTCCAAATTATTATGCAGTAATCAGAAGACCTATGGACTTGCGTAAAATGGAAGAGAGACTTGACAGTGGCTATTATACAGACTTTGCTATGTTTAAAGCTGATTTCAAATTAATTGTGAACAATTGCCGTCTGTATAATGGACAAGACAATGGTAAGTCTGCTGACTTATAACAGTTTATATTTTAAAACATTAAATATAGCAACACTAAATTAATTATGTGTGATATTTTTCATATGTTTTGATTAAAAAAAACTATGATTACTCAAGCATTAGAAACTATAGTAATAAGTCTCTGTATTTGGTGGGACCAATTAAATCTAGTGTGTTTTCAAATATTTTATCTGATCTGATCTGAATATGGTTGTTAATTAAACAATTTCTATTTTGAGTACTAAAAGATAAACAACACACAATATGACATAACACAACATCATATTGTAAAAATAGTCAAAACATACTTGAAACTGTTGAAATGGGAAATCTTTTGTGTTGTTGCTGCCTCATATATAACTATAATATATAGCAGCAATTCTGGTCTTTGTATAAGTTAAAAATAGAATAAATTATTGGATTACTTCATATAATGAGCAGATTTTTACAATTTGTTCATTTTAATAATGAACTTTTAGTCAAGAATGTATAACTAGTATTTTACAAACAGTTTGAATTTTGAAAACAAACACCAAAGTTTGTACCAATAAAATAACGTTGATAAAAACAAGATGATCCTTTTTTCCATTGCACCACTCGTCACTTGTGCACTTTACATCTATTACCTGGAAAAGAGAAAATTCTAATACATTTGCACTTTTAAAAATATTTCTTGCGAAACGTTTTCAAATTGAAGAACAAAAGTCCCTTTATATACTATTTTTTCAGTTGTATGACATGTCTTTCAAACAAGAATTGAAAGGAGTCCATTAAGATAGGTACCGGCTTGATTGTGGCAATTATAATATTAATGTGCAAAGGTGCTCACTTATAAAGGTAGAAAGCAAAATGGTGGAAAACCAATACTTATCATTTTATATATTTTTCTTAACGTGGTATGAAAACCAGCTACAAATATACAACCAAAAAGATTTTGCAGTAACTTTTTATTTATAAACAAGAAAACCTTTTTCCTCGCCCTAGTCTTCAGCTCTATTAAAGTATTCTATTTAAAGTCCTATTGAATTGACAACAATATAATTTGTTGGCTTTTGTGTGGAGACCACAAGACACAATTACATAATTGCTCTAGTCACAAAGCTCTAGTACTTTAACAACTTATTTTTGAGCAGATATATTTAAAGCATATTCTAAAAATGTTACTTCATTAAGCTACATTATTTATTTTTTACTTGTAACAGATTATATCCTGAACCTTGTCCCTGTGGGTACTACTACTATGCCTATTTCTACCCTGAACCAATGACATGATATTTATGGTGGTGTTGTTCTGAGTCTACGCTAGACAAACTACTTGTTCCTAATAAGAACAGCTCATATGTAAGATAAGGTGTATCCCTTATTTAAGTGAAAATAAAAAAAATATGATTCTCAACCTAATATTTTTGTAAAAAAAAGTGTGTGTGTCCGCTCCGACGCACGACTGGAGTTTACTGGATATAAAAAATTAAACGAAACAATACGAGAAATAGTTCTATATTACGACAACACGATACACTACAGATTATTAACAAATTAACGAGACACAAAACAAACGACTAACAAATATATGAAAATACAATAATGAGAGAAACGCGCGATCAGTACGAGGCTTTGTGGCGGACTGCCGGCGCAGCAGCCCGGCGTCACCTGCGATAACGCATTTCGTGTGACATGCGCAATCAGGCGCATAACGCATTTCGTGTGACATGCTAGTACGATTTTGGTCCCCATAATTTTCATACCCCGGGCCTATATATGTAAATCGATTCTAAAGGAGTAAACTCCAAAAAATTGGTAACATGCAACTCTGACAGATTGCACGAATGTATTTTTTTTTCTGTTAATGAAACAAATCACCTTGGAAAGCTATCAAATAATCTTAAATCACTGAGTGAGTTCACATTATTAGACATTTTTTTAATTCAACAAAGACTTTTAATAACTTTGTTTTATGTTGGATTTGTTTGAGAGCTTTATTGCTGTGCCATTATAGTGTACCAAAGGCACTTTGTGGATTCCCATTGCCTAAAATATTAAGAATAACAACACTGTTATACTTACATTCAAATTGCATTCATAATTCAATATTTTTTGTTGCAGAGTACACAATGATGGTTGACAATCTGCAAACAGCATTCGATCGTTTAACAGAAAAATACATGCATAGACTTTCATCTTCTGATGAAGAGATTGCTGTTGAATATCAATTACCGACTCCATCAAGGAAACATAAGTTAAAATCCAGTGAATCTCCAACCCATCACAAGAGGAAGAAAAGAAAATCTCATTCAGATTCAGGTAAAAAGAAAGAAAAGTCTTATAATTAATTAACAAATTTACAGATAATGTTTGTAAATATAAAAAAAAACTGAAATTTCTTTTTGTATTTTTGTAATTTCACATGTTTTATTTATTTTTTATTTATTACGTAGATAGGTGGACGAGCTCACAGCTCACCTGGTTTTAAGTGGTTACTGGAGCCTATAGACATTTACAACGTAAATGCGCCACCCACCTTGAGATGTAAGTTCTAAGGTCATAGTATAGTTACCACGGATGCCCCACCTTTCAAGCCGAAACGCATTACTGCTTACCAGCAGAAATAGGCGCACCTACCCGTGCGTACTCACAAGACGTCCTATCACCAGTAATTAAGCAAATTATTATTTTGCGGGTTTGATTTTTATTACACGATGTTATTCCTTCACGGTGGAAGTCGATCGTGAACATTTGTTAAGTACGCATTTCATTAGAAAAATTTGGTACCCGCCGGCGGGATTCGAACACCGTTGCATCACTATATACGAATGCACCGGACATTTTATTCTTTAGGCCACGACGACTTGAAAATGTTAATGTGTTGTATTATACATATATATTAATAGAACAATAGTTCTGGATATCAAAACTCCTTTACTGGGAAAAGTTTCAGTTTCATGGCTGAAGAATTGAAGAACAGCTCCATTAAAAATACACAGAATTCCATTTAAATTTAAATTATTAAACAATGTTAAATTATTTTGATTTGACTTTTTGTTAATAAAAAATAAATTTATATAAACAGAATTCCATAATAATGACTTTTTTTTAGAATTTTATATAATTTTTTATTACTACAGGTGAACCAAAATCAAGTTCATCTGATACTATCCAAGAAAGTAAAAAAGAAGATATAGCACCTGATTTAGAAGAACCAAAAATTAAAGAATCTCATAAAAACAAAGAAGGTAAGACAAAGAAGAAACGGAAAGGTCACCATCGTCATGGCAAACATTCCAAAAACCATAAGAAAGAATCCCGTAAGTCTGAGCATGGTGAATCTAAAAGTAAGCATAATAAAAAACAAAAGCACTCAAAGAATAAAAATAAAGATGGTAAAAAAATAAAACAAAAAAAGAAGAAGAGCAAACATCATGATTCAGAAAGTACCGAAGTTTTGAAGCGGGCTGTATCTCAAGAGTCTATTGAAAGCTCGAATAGAAGTCGAAGTGCAAGTCCTCTGCCCTCTATACATACGCCGACTCCGTCACCACAAGAAGTAGAACAGACTGATAATACTGAACAATTAACAGACCCTGATTTCTTCAAAGATAAATATGACAAAATAAAGGAAAGAAGACGAAATGCTGCAAAAGATGCTTTTGAATCACTGTTGGATTACAAACAAAAAAGTACTGATAAACAAAAACAAAACATTAACTTACCAGAGAAGGATAAAAACCAAAAGTTGACTGAGACAATAGAAAAATTAAAAGCTAAAAATGAAAAGTTTAAAGATAACTCAACATTTAACAGCCTTTTTTCAACAAGTAACGATGAAAACTGCAAAGAAGTAAATAATAAAGAGTCTCCTAATAATGAAGGTTCTGATGAAGGAGAACAAAAAAAGAAATCCAGGAAAGGTAATAAAAAGAATGCTGCTAAAAATGAATCTGCATCAGAAGCATTGGAACAAGCAGTAAAAGATATCAGCAAATGGTTTGATGATGCGCCTAAAAGTTCAACAGTAAGCTCCCCATGCGATAGTCCGGCTCAGACAGTATCTACGGAAGAGCAAGATAGTCGTTTAGATGACGAACTTTCCCAAGGAGAAAAATCTTCGGTTTCTAGAAAAGAAGTAACTCGTAAGCGACCCTCCTCACGTGAACCTAAGTTGGTCAAAAGAAGGGAAATTCAAAGAACCATAGAAAGGCTACAGCCTGGTAAAAGCAAAGGCAATTTATTAACAAACATACCCAGTAAAGTAGAAAAAGCCGAAGAGACTATTTCAACTGGTCCGTTAACGAAAGCGCGTGAACTTAATAAAACAGAAGAAACGAGTAGTCCCAAGCTTAGCCTCGGCTCTGTTTTGCCGACAGTTGAATTTACAATAGGAAATGATCACAATTTCGGTAACAAGGATGAAGTTCCTGAAGAGGACCAGAACAATATGTCAAAACCACAAGAACTAAGTTCCCAAAAAGATGATATAACAGAAGAAACTTCAAATGAAAAAGCTACTGAAACTGTTGTTATTCAAACTTCTAAAAAGGATGCCGAAGTAGAAACAGAGCCAACTACTATCGTTAAACCAAATCAGGAAAAGGCTACACCAAATTTAAGCGCATGGTTTAAAGCATTTGGAGCGCCTAAAAGCACACCCCCGTCTCATGCTTCTTTGAAAAAGAAAAACGAAGAGACTGATGCTGAAGAAAAACATGAAAGTACAAACAGTGAGAATAAACCTCTTAGTCCTAAACATGGAACGAAATACGATTCTCCTGTTGGTCCCGAAACACCTAATCCAGAAGGAGGGGATAGTCCTCATCCTAGCATAAATGCAACACCTCGACAACGACGAACCAGTACTGGAAGTTCAATGTCTGAACGTTCGTCATTTAGTCAAGATCTCGATTCGCCCAGACATCAAATGTCGCATACTTCACCCTTACTTCATTCACCTGCTTCACCTAGAACTGAAGACTTCCAGAAAATTAGCTACCCTATCATTAATGGCACTGTGAGAGCTGGATTCTATCATGACACGACATCACTTAAAAGTAGCCCCGAAAAAAGTTGCAGTCCACGCGAAGGACCTCAGTCGCCATACTCTACATATGCTCAACATGTTTATGCTTCCAATAATGTGACTGGATCGACGACCCCTCATTATTTTATTGATCATACTAAAAGTCCATTGCCTGCCTATAACCACAACCCACCTCCTTTTTATGACACTTCAAAAGCACCCCTCGTTACTAAATCAGCTCGAGTTCATGACGACTACACGTCCCTTGGCCCCGAAACATATCAACAGAGTCAATACACGGGCCCATTTTCTCCTGCTTATACACCATATGCACAAGTATCTGCCGCAAATTACACTCACTCACAACACACACCACAAGCATCAATCGTTAATAGTAATGCAAGTGCTCCAGCTCCGGCTCCATCGGTAGTTGAAAAAACAGCAACTGCTTCGTTTCCTGTTAAGAAACGAACTTATAGCGAAATTGATCAAACAACGCTGACTCCACAAACCAATAATACTCCCAAAACAAACGAAAACAAGGATATTACTGTCGTATCCCATCATAACAAAGTGGAATATCAAAAAACTTCTCAAACTGTACATGCCACTTCTATGTCTTCAATGTCTTCTACATCCGTTGATGACATCGCTTTAGCTTTAAGTGAGAAATCTGAAATGGCTAAATTAAATAATATGCGGGATAAGCCCGCCGTAGAATATCATAAACCTGACGAACGAGATAAAAAATATGAAAGTCGAGAAATAAATAATGAAATGTATAAACAAACCAAACAAGATGTATCAGGCCTTGACTTAAAAAAGCCTGTAACGAGTAATACCAAAAAAGATAACATTGATATGGTTAATATGGGCTATTTAAATCCAGAAAATGAAAGAAGAAATAACATCGAGGCGCGCGATGAAATTGCAGCTTCAGTGGCCAGAGAAATCCAGAAAACTAATTTAAAATCTCAGCATATTGAGTCAATGGCAAGAAATCTTGGCATCAGTAATCAGTCTATCCAGAAAACACAAAATTTAAATTCTAATCCGAATAATATCCCTCCGGCACATTCACAGGAAAGATCACACAGTGATCTTAGTATTAATCAGATCATGGCTCACACACATCATGGTCAATATGATACGATTACAAGCGCACAGGCCATAGGTGGTTTCTCGATGAACGATATAGAAATAGCCAATAAAAAATTATACGGTTGCAATACGACATCTTCCTCGACGGCTATTGATTACGGTAATTGGAAAATAACAAACCAAATTCGAAAACAGGAATTACTCCCGTCTGATTATTCAGCTGCCTACACTACAAATGCCGATAAACATAAAAATGATACAAATCCAAATACTTCGATAAATTATAGTAAAAATACGCAAAACCATCAGTACACTGCTTACAACACGACAAGGAATAGTGTTCAGAGAACTGAACTACAACAAAATCATTCTTCCGAGTTAAGAATACCAAATCCCAGAGGAGTACTTAAAAATGATCACTTAAATATGTCTTCCTCTATAAACGAAAACGATATAACAGCGAAAAACATTGAAAATCATGCAAAAGCTCAAAAAGCTGAGAAACTAGTGCAAAATCATCCTCTTGTTACTTCAAACCCTTATAAGCCCCCATACAGTTCACATTCTAGCATTCCTCTAGAAACAATACGAAATTTACCTAATATTCCACAAATGCTAGAAAGATATTCAAACGACGAAAGATATCTGTCGACATTTGCCGGTGGAACATCAGCATTATACCACGAAAAGCAATTTCAAATGGCCCAAATGTTCAATAAAACTATGTCTGCAGCTGAAATGCATCACTCGAATTCACCAGTAAGCTTGGCCTACTCTCAGTCTTCAATACCGAATGCAACGAAAGATAATGGTATTTATAAACCTCCTATACTGACGACACAAGCTGATATAAGACCAAAAACAAAAAGGAGACGGGTGCAAGAATCAAAAACCGCAGTGGTTGGAAATCAAACTTATCATCACACACCATCGTGCAGTGCAGATGTTTTGTCGTCAGTCAAACAGAGTATGATCCCTAGTAGTGCTTTTAATTTTGGTTCATCTACAAATATGACCCTCGGCACGGGCCTGTATGGTGAAAACAGTGGCTTTTCAATAGAAGATTTTAGAAATAGCACTGCAAATCAATTAATGGCAGCAAATTATATGGTAGCTGCTGTGGCGCATCAACAGCGAAACAATGCCGAAGCTACTGCCGAAAAACTCGTGAAGCCTGCTCATCAAAATTCCACACACACATCCAGCTCCTTCCCATTTATAGGTCATTCCCAAGTAAGGGCTGGATATCCTTTTGTTGGAGATCCGTCATCACCGCTGTATCAGCAGTATTTACAAAGACACCAAGAGGAACTGCTTAGACAAACAGGTGCGCAGATCATGAGTCTGTATCCTGCAGGATATCCTGCTGGGTTGGGTGTAAGACAACCATACGACTCTATTAATAGGCCTTCCTGGCTCTAAAATTCGCAATGCGAAATTATGATACACATATACATAATTATAAACGTTGTTATAGAAAATTGTAATTTATATTGTTTGTAGAATCAAAGTAGATTTTTGTAAAAATATATTGCAACAATGCTAATTTAATTTACTACATGACAAATTAAATATTATTAAACCTTTAAATAAGCGGTTCTAAATTAATTATATAGTGAAATTTTCAAGCTCTCGTAATTGATAATATATGTGATAACACGGAGAAACAAATTATTTAATGAAATTATATTTGAAAATGTGAGAAGTTATTTTCAGTTTCCTTTAAAAGCTGTGAATACAAAGGCTGCTCATAAATAACTAGGTTTTACCCTTGCTTTAAAATATATTTCGAAATCTACATTTTGCACTAAATCTTTTTTTAGCAAGTGAGCAAAGTGTAGACTACCCACGACTAGTATATAAATTTCGGAATTACCCCAAACCTAGATTACATAATAGTTATATAGATTTTAAATTTCATAGCATAATAATTGTGTAATAGAAAAATAAAAATCACTCGATTTCTGTCAACAAGAGTTTTATTAAATGCCATTTTTTGTTGTTGTTTTTTTTACCAAAAATGTCTACGAATCTTTAAGGTTATGCAAATAATTTATGCGATTCTATTTAGTTATTCACCCTTTAAAATAAGAGATAAATTTCTATGTTCTAGCTGTTAACTACTTCACTCAGAAGAAATAAATGTAAAGAAGTTTTAACTTATGAACCTTGAAAATGGTAACCAGTTTTTAGAACTTTGGTTCCACTTTATAACAGTAAATTACACCGGAGGAAGACCCTTACACTTTCAACTTCAAAACGTTCATCTGTTGATTTACATTTATTAGCAGCCTTACAGCTTCAAATGAATATAAATGATATATATATATAAGTAGGTACTTTATGTAATGTTGATACAAATTTACTGTAAAACTGTTGCTTTGTTGTAAATTTTTAAAATATATTAAAGTTGCGAAGAGTACCTTAGAATTTAACCAGAACTCTGCATAATAATTTAATGTTTACGCTTTCATGCTTCTTATTAGCTTTAATTTACTCATACATAATACAGTAATGTCACAATAAACGTTATTTAATTTTTTATTTACGTTAGACTACTTAATCTATTTTGTTATGTAAATATTTCTCTTATTTTATTTACAAATAATGTGTTAGTATTTACTCTCATATAAGTATATTTTTGTTAGAATTAATTCAACTAATCATTGGAAGCATAGTGTTAAGAAGATCATAAGAGAAATACTTATTGAAATTATTATTCTAATGTAAAAGATGGAAATAAAGATTTCTGAAACAGTAGTTTTTTTAGTTTCTTATTGCTTTCATAAACGTATCAAACGCATAGTATAGTTAAATAGTAGCAAAAAATACTGGATCCTACTGGTTTTGTGTCTGTAGCACAAACATTTTTCCAAATATTTGGTTGAAAGTAGGAAATCGTTCAGTATCATGAATTGAATACGTGAACATTTTTGTTACTTGTAACGCAGACACATCAAAGACGTGCGCCACATGGCAGAGTTAATATTCTAGAAAAAAATAATCATAAACGTACATTTTTAACTTCAGGAAGACTTGTGCTAGGTGCTAGGAAGATTTGTACTAGGCGCTAGAAAGATTTGTACTAAGTACGTGCTAGGAAGATTTGTGCCAGGCACGCTTTTGTCAAAGTTCTAAAATGCCGTCGCATCGATGGTTGTCGCCATATCCTGATAGAATTCAAGATGCTACAAGGACTACGCTCGCTCCCTCGCAACGCTCAAGTGCTCGCTGTGTTTTACATCATCAGCAGTGACGTAATTTGGACTTAATATTACAATATCTAAATAAAAAATCAGTCATGGCAGTGGACGCTTGATTTTGAACAATTGCTAATAAAAGCGAAAAGAGGACGGACCACCCGGAAAAAGGAAACTGCCTCATTCTTCGGACAGACTATCTTGTTAGAAAATATAATATAACAAATTAGAAATAATATGTTAGAAAATATTGTGCTAGAAAATATAAAAAATGTCATTCCAGATTGGTAGGTATGTTTGTATTACAGGTGTTTTGGAAAAAGTTTGAAAGCAGCGTCCACGCAATAATATTCTCTTTCGCCAAGATAATCTGTCGGCTAGACGAAAAGCCAAATCTTCAGGAGTGCAATTTTTAATTTATCCGTCATATAGGTAATTTCGATGTGACGCCTTACTATTTCTATTTATTTCCGAAAACAAAAGTTTAGCAGAATCCAATTTTAAAATACTAACAAAGCTGTCATAGTATTTGAAAAGGCGATGGAGACTCCTAAAGTACATTGAACCCACTGTTTTACTCAAACGTATGAAACCCTTGAGTAAACGGCGACAGCGTAGACATCGAAGCTTGGATTGTAAAGATAATTATTTTAAATAACGTTAAATATGATAACAGTTACTGTTTGTTCCTTTTGCTATTCCAAAAGTTAGTGTTGCCCTTGTATATTTTCATAGTGCTGAATAAAAGGCATGAGAAAATAACGCGTGCGTAAGAATGTTTGCATGAATTCACACGGTTTGTCTATTATTAAGTGGTTACCGGAGACCCTATGGACATACATCATGTGTGGTGCTATGTATATTCTATTCTATTTTTCAAATGCTCTGCAAAGATTAACCCCGTTGGTGGCTGTACAAAGAACTACATATGATTTCGTTGGTTCAGAATGTGAAAACTTGCCTACTTCGAGGGACTGAGTAGACGGAAATTCAATTCTATGAAAGTGCGCAAGCTAACATAGTAATATTTTTTTCTTAAAGTAGGTACTCAAAGTTACTTTTAACGCTTGCTTCTGAAATAATAAATGCCTTTCATAAGTTGCAGATCAATAAAATTGCAGCGGCGCGGTGCAGCAATTGCGCCTGGGGTGGGGAGTTAGAATATTGATCTGAATGACCTAATTTATCTCGTATTAACCTTTCCCAGTTGCATATCAAATCTCTATCTATACTAATATATAAATCTACAGTGGTTTTCACGGATGTTCCGTTATAACTACTGAACCATGCATCCGATTGACTTGAAACTTGGTATCCATGTATAAAATACATGTAATTAATGCATAGGCTAATATTTATATCAGTGTTGGATTTAAGATAATATTTATATGGTCCCTAAACAAGTTGCGGGGGCGTTAATGATGAGAATCTTTGTGGGGGTGAGAAAAAATAATGTTAATTTTAAATGCCCAGCGACGCGGACGGGTACAGCTAGTCTCATTATAAAACTGAGCATTTTACAGATGTTTTGGCATGTCATATAATAGTAAATAATATAAAAGAAGCTGATGGGAATGGCAGTCTCGTACAGTGCGACGGAAACCATCACCTACTTTTAGATCAGATCGCAGGCTCATGAAATAATATGAACTTGTAACTACAAATATTTATGCTTAATTTGGAAATTGAAAATTGTTTTAAAATTATATCAAGTTAAGTTATTCCCGTACTCTGTTGGAGCCCCTGGGTCTCAGGAGAATAATTCTCGATATGCTGTATCACATATTACCGTCAACTCCTTACATCCTCGTACAGCTTCACTACTAGAGCAGAATTCATTACTACTACTGAAACAACTGCGTCTCAGAAGATAATTTTTGCCAGTTTTGAAATGAACTACCGTCTTCGAGCCATATGACGATCTACATCAGAGATTCCCAAAGTAGTCAATTTTGGTTTTTCGAGAGTCCAGAAAAAAAACAGCTTTTGGGGTTCCACGAGATCTAAAATTCGAGACGATTATTTAACAAACGAGCTTAATTGAAACTTCCGAGATACTGTATAGTTTTGTTACATGTAGGTACCAACTTGTTTTAAAAATTACTACTTAATATTTTGAAAGGAAGTATCAATATTCCATTTGTAAAAAACTCAATTTTCAACAAAACGTGCAAACCGTTCGAAAATCAATGAATGTGGAAATTTAAGGCCACCAGGAAATTCACCAACATTGAACCAGATTTAGCCAGATTGGCACCAGATTTATCCAGCACACTTTCTCTAATACATATACGATTTTCATTTTTTTTTTTTTTCTAAAAACATTAATTAAAAAACCAACTATTTTTACGTAATTCGATATTTAGTGAAATTTGCCTATTTAGTTTTTGATATTTTGATAAGAAAATTACAGCAAAATTTTAAAATTTTCTATAAACAGGAAAAAATCTAGATTGGTAAGTTTTTTAATTATCTGGCTATGGGAGTTTGAGGTTCCGTTAATTTTTTTTATTGCCATTGTAGGCAGACGAGCATACTGCCCACCTGATGGTAAGTGGTCACCGTCGCTCATGGACGTCAGCAATGCCAGGGGCAGAGCAAAGCCGCTGCCTACCGTTTAAGGGTTTTTTTCCCAATACAGTTTAGGAATCCCTGGGTAGTCCAGGGATCAAGTTTGGAAGTGATTAATGACTTCACATTTTGCTGAATTTGTGCAATACCTACGTCAGAAATTAGCATATACATATTTCCTTTTAATAATTAGATATATATTGTTTTTGTCCAACTATTGACGATCTGAAAGAGACCGCTTAAATAGACGAGACATCCCAAATGTACTTAGTTTTTGTTTTTTTGTAAATTTTGGGGAAACAAAAGCATACAGAGTTCTGTAGACAATAAAAACAGGTAGGTATTAAGATAAATAAAGCACCACTGTACACGACATATTTTATATTTCTAATAAATTAGTAAGGTACATATTTGATTCAATATTTTGGAAGAAAAAAATGTTTAGAAGTTTGTGCAGATTTATTTCGATTTTATATGGCTCACCCGTTGTTAAGCTGTTACAGGAATCTAACCAGACATTCTTTCAATCATTTTTGAAACCAAATTTAATACACTTATTTCCCATAAAAACCAATCCCATATATTAGGATATTCATTACTGGTTTCAAATAAGCTTGAAATAGTATAAACACGATTACTTTTTTCAGTCCTTACCACAAGATCAACAAAAATCAACACAAACTTTCTGGCCAAACATTATTTTGCATAATTATGAAACGACAACGACGATATGGTAATTCTACTTATTTTATATAATAAAAATCACATTGTAGACTTTAAGCATTTAAAATACATTATTCAAAACGGCTATACCTACTAAATTCTTTATAATTTTATTAAGTAAATTCATGTTTATTAAAATAAGACCCTTTAAATTTTTTTCTTTAATAGATTATAAATAAAAGTATATTAAAATAAAACATTTCAGAAATAAAATAGTTTAAAATATAAAAGAAATCACAGTACATTTTAAAATAATTATAAATTCGGTTTAGACTACTTAATGAAGATTATTATTGATAGATAATATATTGCAATATGCCGTAGAGATTCATTTTTATGAATTTATCTTCAGTTAGGAAACATCCAGAGTAGAGTATATATTAATGTAGTCACTACATACGTTGGCAAGATAATATTATATAAGATTTTTCCTGTGTGCACAGAAATACTACTACGTTATTTATCAATAGGTCAATAGTGTTATAAGCTTGCTTTAATAGTCTCGAGAAAATTGTCCCAATCCCAAGATCGATGTACTACTCTCTCAAGAAAGTGCCGATAAAATATCTAGATTGTAAATACGCAAAAAGTATGCTTCTTCAGATCGGAGACGATAAACTTACTAAACGCCAACTAATAGATTTCATCACAATACTTTTTAAACGCTTTTTCTGGAATACCGTTCAGTTCTCGCCGCGAATTCTCCTTACTGTCTTCTACCGAATAAAAACGGACACTACGAAGTGGTAATTTGAGTTTAGGAAAAAGAAAGAAGCCGGCTGCGGCCATGTTTGGTACTTACTGGTGGTAGGACGTATTGGGAGTCCGCACGGGTAGGTATCACAACCTGGCCTATTTCTGCCATGAAGCAGTTATGCGTTTTGGTTTGAAGGGTGGGGCAGCCGTTGTAACTATACTGAGACTTTATAACTTATCTTTCAAGGTGGGTGGCGGCATTTACGTTGTAGATGTCTGTGGGCTTCGATGACAACTTAAAATCTGGTGGGCTGTAAGCTCGTCAATCCATATATGCAATAAATTTAAAAAAAAATGTAGTGAGCAAGGCGATTGCCCGATGGCATTTGTCGATTTTTTGGCAAAAATTTCATTCACAATGACTGTGCAAATGCGCATTAAGGTGGTGCCAAATCCAAGAATTTTCAAAAGTCTGGTCTTTTTCTTCGAATTTACTAAATTCCGCAAGAATTCCGAGTGTATAACAAACACCGTGATAGTCAAATAAACAGTCAACTGATTGACTTTTGTTCGACTTTGATATGATTTTTTCGGTTTCGGTTTAGTTGTAAGGCGTCACTCTGAAGCTTGTACACTAGTGTTTATGTCAATCTCATAACCCATATCTCCTCACCTATAAATAGGCGTTTCATAAATTTTGGGTCGGAATTGGTTCGTTCTACCATGTCCTCAACGACTCATGCGACTGAGTTTTTGAAGAAAATTTAGGCCTTTTGGGAATAGTCGAGCGGATATGCGAACATGTTTAACACTCAAGTGATTATAAATTATTTAAAATACTCGTGAGACACAAAGTCCGGTGGCTATTTCTCTCAAACTTGAATGAGGATTTTCAGTCATTATTTACTTCACTTTTGCGATGACTAAAAACAGCACTAATACTCCGGCCAAACTGGAAAACGGTTGTGCCAATCTAACAACAACAAAAACCATTTTTATTATTATTTGGAACAGTAAACAAATCATCCATTCCCGATACTTTTTTGACTGAATGTATAACCTAAACAAACATTCAGATTCAACAATCTAACCACAAGCAGATCGCAGCTCTGGAAATTACTCAGCTTCGAACTACTCTTAATTACTACCAGCGAAACCTAGCTCATTTATCAGAAAAAGCGACCTTAGCGGCAAGCTACCGTGACGAGCCATCAAAAGTGATATCGCTCAATCAGCTCCTCACAAGGTTCGCGCCGTGCTGTTCAACAACGCGAAAACAAAACCAACAATAAAACTTGCTTAGAATAAGGTGTGTTATAAGTGTGAAATTACGGATACATTTCTGCTCCGAAAAAGCACACGTTCCGGTTTTCGATGGTAGGGCGTGTTTTAAACGTGAGCTTGCGGGTAGTTACCAAATTTTTGTCTATTTCTGTCGCGAAGAATCACGCGTTCCGGTTTTAAGGGATAACAGCTACACTTTACGATTATTATTATTATCATTAGATATTATTATTATTTTGACATTTAATATAGAAAAGTTTGATTAATATATGATATATGAATGAGAAATTAAGCAACAATGCTAGGATCCCAAGCGTACTTGACATTTTTCTCGCTGAGTTGATTTAGTGCCTTCATATCTTCTTCTGGAATCTTGAAATTGAGTGATCTATTTTCTTTAATATGTTCTGGATGAACGGCTTTCGGTATGACAGCGACGTCTTGCTGCAAGGCCCACACAAGTAAAACTTGAGCAGGTGTGACCTCAAGCTTAAGAGCAGTGCTCACAACCACCGGATCGTTCAACAGAGAATTATTTGAACATGATGTCCCTCCAAAGGAACAGTACGCTTGAAGAGTAATGTGGTGCTGCTTGCAAAACTTGTAAAGACTGCTCTGAGTATAATAGGGATGCCATTCAACCTTAAAGTGCACATTATTTTTATCATTTTATTAAACAGTGAAGTATAAATATTTATTTATATATACAGTGTTGGTCATATAATTAGAAACACTTCTTATGAATAATGAAAGTGTAACTTCAACGTAAAATACGAATATGTAAAAAATATACACATTCAATAATCAATAATCATGCAATTTGAAACACTACCAATGGGGCAACCATTGGTAGTGTTTCAAATTGCATGTTATTTTCAAATTATACGACTACCACTGTATAAATATTTTCTTATATTACCTGGTTAACTGCCGGAACAAGTCCATGGTTGCTCTCCATTAGCCCTTCAAGATGTGCCACCGTAAAGTTGGATACCCCCACGGCATTGACTTTACCATCATCATACAACTCTGTGAGCTTACACCACGACAGTTCTCGCATCTTCGTATTGCGTTTGTCCTCAGCAGGGAGCTTAGCACCCCCAGGGAAATGAATTAAGTAAAGGTCTACATATTCCAAATCGAGATTCTCAAGAGATTTTTGATAAGCTTGTTCAGCACGTGAGCCATGATCAGACGGTGCTAAAAACACATGAAAACATTATTCTATCTTTAACCTCAAATGTCCACTACTGCACACAGGCCTCCCTAAAGCCTCGCCGAAACATTATTGTGTAAGCAATTTTAATTAAAATTAGTTTTATGGTTTAAACTCGCGTTTTTTATTGTCTTCCTATTATTTTCGTCCTTTGGAATACTCTGTAGTCTTTGTGGACGACCATAGTTATCAAAATACTGTATAAGTAATTGGTATTTATATAAGATCGATCTCATAAAGACATAATAAACAAGTTATGTTTACCATTTTTATTAAAAATCATTGGTATTTACATAATAATATTATGTATTTGTTTTGAAAATGACACTTTTGGAATCGTGGATGATGCGAAAGTTGCAGTGATGAGTCATGACTATGCAGAAATACAAGCAATATTCAAGCTTATTCAAATTAAAATAAGGATAATTTCAGAATAAGTCTTATTTCTCTTTAGTCTTAAAGCTTTCAGCCAACCGGTATGTTCTATAGCATCCGATACTCACATAACTTTGTAGTTACAAAAATATCCTCTCTCTCAAGATCATATTTGGGCAACAAAGTCTTAAATGCCTCCCCCAAGTGAATTTCATTCCCATAAACGGCTGCCGTATCTAAAATGCAATATAATATATAAAGCATAATATGTATATGATAAGCGTAACATGAACAGAATCCAAACTAGATCAAATCAATTATTATTATTTATTTTTTTATTGCCCGAGCAGGGAAACGAGGATACGGCCCACCTGGTGGTAGGTGGTTACCGGCGTTCATGGACTTCCACAATGCCAGTGGCAGAAGCCAAGTCGCTGCCTACCGCTTAATACTCTCCACATGCCTTGTTTGAAGAAGGACATGTCATAGCGCTCATGAAACACCGTGGAGGGAAGCTCATTCCAAAACCAGATGGTACGTGGCAAAAATGATCTCTGGAAACGCACTGTGGATGAACGCTGCGGCTCCAGGTAGTATGGATTCATTCCATTATATCAATTTATTCCATTGCATCCATATTTTAATCCATTATTTACAACAAAAATCATGACCCGGATAGTTGCAGCGGCTTGGCTCTGCCCCTGGCATTGCTGAAGTCCATGGGCGACGATAACCACTCACTATCAGGTGGGCCGTATGCTCGTCTGCCTATAAGGGCAATAAAAAATAAATAAATAAATAAGTTATGCAGTCATTATGCTACAATTTATTCACTTACCAAACATCCGGTAACCTGCTTCTAAAGCGTAGTCAACTACCTGCATGACAATGTCACTCTGTCGTATACGATATGTTCCCACTATAAATATAAAAATTAAATTTTATTGTGAAGCTTCTAATATATATTCTAAATAATACTACTTAGTAGAGTAAATTTTATGGTATCAACATTATACACAAATTATATTAGAAAGTGATATTTCCTTCAGACTCATTAATGCTTCAAAGATTAGATGATGTTACCAATGCAAATGCAATGCAATACAAACTTTTGAAAATCGGCCGTCTCACCCTTCAAACCAGAAACTCATGCCTGCCTCATGGCAGAAACAAGCAGGATAGTTCCCACCCATTCTTGGGTTCAAATATACCCTATCATGAGTTATTTTTATTACATGGTTTTGATTTTGAGGGTTTGATTTTTATTACATTATGTTATCCCTTTATCATGGAAACAATCCAACAATTTCATTAAATACTAGCTGACCCGGCAGACTTTGTAGTGCCTTAATCAATAAATAAAAGACCTAAACTTTGGAATAAAATTAAACTTAAAACAAACAAAAGGAATCCGTCTGACGAGGAACACATCAAAGGAACAAAGCTGTTATTTTTATTTAATTCCGAGCGTTTTATAAACCTTCTCTGAAAATAATTCAAGATCAAAATTAGCCAAATCGGTCCAGCCGTTCTAGAATTTTAGTGAGACTAATGAACAGCAATTCATTTATATATATATATATATAGATAGAATATAGAAGAAGATTAATTTTATTGGAAAAAATTAATAATAGCGGTTGATTTAAACTTATCTACCTTATCCTTTTGGTTACAATTATGGTTTTGTTGTTGTTCATGTGTCTTTGCTTGAATTCACTTTAATTTCACTAAATAGTCTACCCTCAGTTTGATGCTAAGAAAAAATATTGAAAAAATAATATTGACTAAAGACTTACAACCAATGGATGGCATCATTATACCATTGTTGAGCACAAAAGTTGTTGGAATTATCGGATCCGAAGATGCCATTGCTGTCTAGTAAATGCAATACTTTTATGGCAAAATACAGACCTAAAACACAAACTTAATATAGTAGTTTTTTCCCACATCCAAACAAGCATCATCCTATAATGAGGCCCATAGAAGTCACAATGGAGATGCTGCCACTCCCATGAGATTAGTTTCAAAATGTCACATATCATTACGTAAATCATGACAGGTGAAATTTCTGTTCTTAGAATTAAAAAATATACACATTGTACATCCTTTTCAGTAGTTTACAAATTCAACAGTCTATGATCACATATTTGTAAGTTTTTGATCAGTAAAATTGAATCACAGCCCAAGAAATTTATTCAATATCATGTTTGTTTTCAAACAATAGCCACTACACAAAATACTACACTACAATACACGAAATAAACTGCATTTCAATATCTTTAGATTCAAAGAGTATTACATCTGAAATTAGGAGAAGGTATGGAGGCTTATTGCCTATAATTTACCATTATCTACAAAATACCTTTAATCTTTAAAATTAAAGTGCAATAAAATTTTGTTGGCCACAGATCCAGCTCATTATAAAATTAATTAAATTTGATTATGCCAATGTTTGTGAGAGATAGAAATCATGTACTGATGGGCTCGCCATTTGCAATAAACCATCAATAGCTATAAAAGTTAATTTTTCGAAAATTTCTGGTGTAAAATGTGCAGCGAGACAACAGGAAAATGTATCTGGTTGATTTTTTTTTATACCATCAACCGTTTATTTTGAGTCATTTTTAAATGAAATCATTGTCTGGAGCATTGACGATTTCTATATATATTGAAGTTACTTAGAAAAAAATTCACATTACAAAAATTTTGCAAACAGTACATACCATTACCAAGTATTTTATGTAAAGAGGAAATATTGTCTTACATAAAATTATAACTGCATTTTCTGCCAAACGACTTTTTTAATTAAATATCAAATCATATTAAAAAACTAAATATTAATTTAGTTTAAATAATTATATACCAGTTAAGATTAATGTGTTAATTAGACCAAATAAAAAGGTGACATTTAATAATTAGCTCACAAAACCTATTTTTGACTTGTTATTCGCTAAAACTAAGGTATCGGACACGTTTAATGCGCCAACAGGTCTATTGCAACACGTATATTGCGCCAACATACCTGGTCCTTCTATAGGAAATGGCCTTGTTATTTCATTAATTTGAAAGCCAAAAATTTATGCACAGTTTTTAATTATGTCTAAGTAGGTAGGTAAGTTTGTGCACATTTTATGCAAGAGCTATCAAAAGTATCAAACAAAAAACATTTAGGGCTTACATTACCGAGCGACTATGTCTATTATCTATGATCAACATGTTAGTGCTAGGTAGGTATAATAAATAATAAAGGATAAAAAGGATTTAGATTTTTACATAAATTGTTAAGCGTAAAAAAAGCTATAATAATTAAATATTTTTGCTGTAATCAGCGACCCAAGAAATCTCGCATATTGATTTACTGAAAATAAATTATGAGCTGAAAGAAAAAAAACACTACGTTTCCGAGGTCATTTAAATTACACACAAATTTTATATATTTTATTTCTTTGGTAATTCCGTCTATAATAAATATCTGCATCACTATTCAGATAATATTTAAAAATAATATTAAGTACCTTCTAACGTCTGCTTCCAAGGATGTCCGAATTGGTTAATGAGAATATAGGATTCTTTATCTCGTCTGGTCGTTAGACGTCGCCTCTTACCCTATCTAGATGCGTCCTCTATGGTGCACCGACAGTCTCTCTAGGTACCACTTCCAGTCTACAATTTAACTACCTACTTACCTCTCAACTTAAGCCACCATCTAAGTCATTATTATGCTCACAATAGTAACATCACCAAGAACATATTATATTACCGGGACTTCGGATGTCCTTGAAATCTTAATACATATGTACTTGCTAATAATACATTTTATCAAGATACGTTTTTTAACTAATCGTTCCGTTGGACGTCCGAGGTCCGTTGTTATAAGAGAGTGCTTGTTATCTCCTGATAGCTTGTATTGTAATTTATAATTGTAATATTAAAAATTAAAAAATGTTATTGTAATAGTATTAAACTAGAACGCAACAATATACCAAAATAAAAGGTAACTGAGTCTGATGCACAATCTAAAAGTTGATAGACTAATACCAGCATCAGCAAGAAATTTCTTTACCCTTTTATGGGTTCTAGTTTAAAAATTTGTCATATTTATTTCCACGGCTTCCTTGTATCATTTTATAGAGCGTGTAACCAATATATTGCCTTAACGTTTTTAAATGTTCAACTACATTGTTAATATGAAGATGAGTCAGTTTACATCCAGAAAATTTAGAACGCGTGTTATGTTTGAAATTTTGACTATCAATATGAAAAAGAGTAAGATCGTGTACTATAGCATAATAAAATAGCCGCAGTGTATCTGGATATTTGAAATAAACTAAATAAATTTATATTCCAGATTTGGCAATGAAATATTTTTCTCTATGTGTTTTACATTGTTGCAATTGTCGAAGATCCTAAGATCCGTGTAGGTGGGGCAGAGGGCATCAATAGTATTTCTCCATCACGATCGGGACGACGCGCTTTAGGTTGGACCAAGGTAACCTGATTGTCTTCATCTTCTCTACTACAGTGCGCTGCCAGTTCAGATATTAGTAAACGTGGGATTTTGAGTAGGATCGTCAGGTGTGAACCCCGTGAGCTCACCTACTCGTTCTGCAAATCTGGTACAGCCCCTCGAGGTTACTAGAATGGTGACCCCCAATCACCCTCTTTGGCCAATTTATCCCCTGGGCCAGGAAGGTCAAGTACCTGGGTATCCATGACATTCCACCCGCACATTAAAACAGTTCGCGACCGTGCCGCGTTTATTCTCGGCAGACTCTACCCCATAATCTTATATCTATAAACGAGCAATTCTTGTATACAAATCTCGAATATATGAATAATCTGAATCTCGGAAACGGTTCCAACAATTTTCATAAAATTTACTATACAGGCGATTTCGGGGGCGATAAATCGATCTATAATAATAATAATAATAATAATAATAAGCCTTTTATTTCATGCAAATAATAGGTTACATACACGTTTCAAGTATGAAGAAGAAATTATAAAGAAGAAAAGAAAACAGAAAAAGAGGGTAGGCGTTACTGATAAATCGATGTAGCTACGATTTATTTTCAGAAAATGTTCTTTTATTCGTTTTTCAATAATCAACTTTATCGATAATCAACTTAAACATAAACTTTTATTTTTATTGAAAGATCAAATAATAGGTATATAATATAATATCAATATGTAATTCGTATTTAAATATCATTTCTAAAAAACACAATATATAAATTAAATAAAAAATACCGAGCAAAGCTCGGTCATCCTCTAGTATGTACTAAGCGGAGTAAAATGTCCCTTCGGAACTAGGTGACACTTTGCAAAACTTGCTGACCCGTCATGACTTACGCGAGTGTGGTGTTCGTTTGTTTTTTTCCTATGCTGATAGCCTTGAGAGGCTATTTCAGCTTCACCCTAACATGTAGGTGAGCTCACGGGGCTGAAACCTGAAGTTTTGCTAACACTGGCCCTAGCAAGAGCAGTGCTTCGCAAAATCTACCACCGGATCGGAAACGCGACCCACTGAGAAGATCCGGCGAGAAACTCAGTGGGCTGTGTTTATGGGTTAATTCGCTCGTCGAGCCCTTCGTCGCAAGCGACTGGTTCGACGAAGACGGTTTAATGGATCTGGATGATCAGTAATGTTGTGTTTTGGGCGAGGTCAACTATTTACCATTCGGTCTACAGGATCGTGTATGTAATTCCCAGCGTCTACGACAAGAGGGTTTTCATGTGCCTTTCAAAGTGGCGCAATGATGCCGACTGTAGATACTTACTGACTGAGTCAAGCTGCAGGTCATCATGGAGATCCACGTTCCTTAGGAACCATGGTGTTCCGACGGCTATCCTGCAAAAACGGGATTGAATAACTTAAGGGGCTTCAAGTTGGTGTGGGTCGCGTGAGCGAACACTAGCTTATGTCATGACTGATGTATGCAAGTTTTGTAGAGTGTCACCTTAATTCGAAGGGGCAATTTACTTCGCTTGCAAATCATGTGGTAGAGACGTGATAATATGAAGGTGGCACGGTCGCGTACCGTTTTAATATGGGGACGGAATGTCATCCCTCTCGAGGATCATCGAGGGTGGCGCCTAGATATTTGACCTTCGAGGTGCGCGGTATAGGCTGGTCAAAGAGAGTGATGGGCTAACGGCGGAGGTGTTAACGCGTCTATTAGGGTGTGGGCTGCTCGAAGTGATATTCGGAGGGCGACCCCTTTTGAAGAGCACCGCTGTGCTTTATTTTCGTGGGATTGAAGTCAATGCGTCACTTCCGGAACCACTGTCCCATGGTGGTTACTGCGATCTGGAGTCACCGATGCAATAACGACTTTTTCCTACACGAGTAGTAGATAGCCGTGTCATCGGCGAAGCGCTAGACGGGTCGGTGTTCGCTCACGCGACTCGCACACACATAGACACCCTCCAATCCCTACAATCCCGGTTTTTCAGGCTAGTCGTCGCCTGAAAAACCTCGAATCGTTCCGCAAACACATGAAGACAGCGTCGGAACGTTACTTCGATAAGCTATGCGTCATGATAATCGCCTTACCCTTGCCGCCGCTGACTACTCCCCGAATCCTGATCACGCAGGAGCCAGTCACCGTCGTTACCCTAGACACATCCTTACGGATCCATCAGATCCAATAACTCTTGCATTAGATGCCTTCAGCTCTAACACTAGGAGCAGGCTAAGGGACCACGGTAGCCGTACTCGTCGAGCTCGGCAAAGAGTTCGACGTGCAACCTAAGCCACGCATTAGCCCGCTGAGTCGAATCTTCTCAGCGGGTTGCGATTCCGACCCGGTAGTAGATTCATTCGCGAAGCAGCTGCTCTTGAGTTGTTAGAGGTCTCCTTCGGAGGCGCTTCGGCAGCTGTTAGCAAATCCCCCTCCTCTTGGCTGAGCCCGTGCTCGCCCACCTGTCCTGGTGAATCTGGAAAGAACTCTGGGCCACCAGTAATCATTCAATCATAAAAAAAAGTTATTAGAATAGGTAGGAGAGAAAAAAAAGGTAGTAACGAGAATGATGAAGTTGTGTGAATAGTTTTTTTTTATTTACTTATTATTTCTTCAAGTTTAATTGTGTAAAAATGTGGGAAAATGAAATAAAGTTAAAATCTCACTGCAGTCTTAAATAAACACTCCATCTTATTGGGACACAATTTCGTGACATTTCATCTTCACAATTTCAAATAAATGAATTTCAATTAATTTTGCCCCATTTCTCATTTATTCTTAATTTTCCATTTTTCAATTAAATTGTTACTTAAAAATGGAAGATGTTTAAAAAGTCAACACTGGGAGCAAAGTGGAGCAAAGGCATCCTAAGTAGGTACCTAATTGCCATATTGAAAAAAAGACAAAGAAATAGTTAGGTATAATATTGTAAATACCTAACTGTAATACTGATTACTGGTGGTGGGAAGTCTTGTGAGTCCGCACGAGTAGGTAGCACCATCCTGCCTATTTCTGCCGTGAAGCGGTAATGCGTTTTGGTTTGAAGGCAGGGACAGCCGTTGTACTGTAACAACTGAGACCTTAGAACTCTTGTCTCAAGGTGTGTGGCAGCAGTACTGAAATATGAAACTTATGGAAATGAAACGTCAACAAAAAATTCGTGTCACTGGGCAGCAGTTACGTAAATGTCTCAATGTTAACGCCAGGTGGGCCGTGAGCTTGTCCACCTATCTGAGCAATAAAAAATGTTTCAGCCACTATGCAAACATAATAAAAATAATTTGTTTGACGATCGCTCAGTTATCTTAGATGTGCGCTAAAACCTAATCTTCTTATGACCCAGTAGTATATTCTGGGGTACGAGTTGACGACGCAGTCGACGGTGACAGGATTTTGGCTGCCCACTGCACTTAGGGGAACAGAACGTCGTTTTCTTCGCGATCAAAACAATTTTTTAAACCGAAATTTAAATAAAATTAGTATAGATATGTAATTAGCAAAGTATTTCATAAACATGACCTAGCCAAATTCTAATCAGTGTAGGTTCAGAAGTTTTTCATAAAACATTGGAAGATATGATTCATTAACTTCGAAACCACTAACAATATTGATGAAAACTTGAAATTCAAACGATTATTTGAAAATAATTTTATCATTTATCTGTGAGTTGATGTTCAATCCTATCATAAGAAATAACAGCTTTTTTTTATTAGATTGGTGGACGATCTCACAGCCCACCTGGTGTTAAGTGGTTACTAAAGCCTATAGAGGCATAGACATCTACGATGCAAATGCACCACCCACTTTGAGATGTAAGTTCAAGGTCTCAAGCATAGTTACAACGGCTGCCCCACCCTTCAAACTGAAACGCATTAATGCTTCACAGCAGAAATAGCAGGGTGGTGGTACCCACCTGTGCGGACTCACAAGAGGTCCAACACCACTAATTATACAAATTTTAATTTTGCGGGTTTGATTTTTATGACACGATGTTATTCCTTCACCGTGGAAGTCAATCGTGAACATTTGTTAAGTATGTATTTCATTAGAAAAACTGGTACCCCCTGCGGGATTCAAACACCGGTGCATTGCTAGATATGAATGCACCGGACGTCTTATCCTTTAGGCCATGACAACTTCAAATGCAATGTAAATTTCATAAAATGAAAAAAAAAAGGATTTAATATAATTTATTGTGATACATTTAGATTTTTTATTCTCTGCTATTTTAATGAACAGCAACTTATAAAGCAATAATATATTACTAATAATGCAAGAAATATGTTACTAATTTTAAAAATATTATATTTGTTAAATTTGAAAAACATTAAGTTATAAAACATTGTTATTATATATTCAAGATATTTAATGTATTGTTAATGAACCAGCAAGTTGTCCAATGGAAATTTATACAAGACATAAGGAAACTATTCCATAAATTGAAATAGTAATATCAAATATACCAATTCTATAACAGAAATAATGATAAACACTTGATCTACTACAACTTAGAAGATGATAACAGGATACCTACGTTATGAGACTAATATTTATTTTGGTACGATAATAGAGTGGAATTTTGCATTCAGCTTATTTTTATTGTTATATTACAGCAGTGCACTGCTCTATAATTTAATATTCCTTGTTTTGAACTGTAAACTGTACAATGTCATCATAATATAACAAATAAAATATTTGTGGGAACAAATTCTTTACCCCTCGTATTTTATGATATTCAATCCTTTTATTATATTGTTTAATAATACAGTACATTATTTTAATAATACACCGACTTGTTTGTTGAGCAATCTCATGTGATGCAAATCATTGTTGCTTACAATTGTAGACAGTTTTTTCTATGTACAGATAATTATTTTATATTATAATTGTATTATTAGCTAAAAAAAATTAATAGACAAAGTTGCTTCATTAACAATTGATTTCATGTGGATAATTATAATTCCAATCATCTATTTTTTTGAAGGTATTGGGTTTGATTCTGCTGCTGGCTGATTTTCATTTTTCATCCTTTTTTGCTGAATCAAATCTCTGATGTTGGACTCACTTTCATTTAAAGTGTGGTTTAAACATACCTTGCGATTATTTAAATCGTCAATGCGGCTTATCAATGTATTGGTTTTTTGTCTCAAATTCTGTTTAATATGCTCTAAGTCTGATTGAACAAACATTCTTGCCATAGATTCATAGGTTTTCGTTCCAGGTGGTAGCACGTCGATTTCACGCTGAGTAAGATTTGTATGCATTTGCATGCGTCCCAATACGGCAAGCTGGTGATCTATATTTTCAATAGTCTTTTTAGTTTCAATCATTAGCACTTGTAAATCGACAAACGCTTGTTTTAATTCTAGATCCACCGTTTTAGCCATTTTGATGATAGTTGTCAGAAAATAAAATCACCGTCTTGGGCACCTATGACAATTTTAAATACAAATAGCCTCGTTGCTTTTCGTAGGCACGGTACCTACCTACCCATAGATTATACACTTATTATATTCGAGTATAGAGTGGGTGAAAATAATATGTTTATTATCTATGATAATGACCAAAGACTCTTTTCATCCACTCGTCTACTTTGAAAAGCAAAGGGGACAAAAACCATGTATCTGATGAAGTCATCATACGCTTTTTTTATAACTTCACTTTAGAATAGGTACTTCAGTTTTAAAGCAATTTAAGTGTCTGTAATTATAACTAATGCCGGCCACTCACATGCGCGCAAATATTCGTACATTGGACGAATGTTTGCGCGCATGTGAAGGGCCGTCAAACATTCATTCGCAAACTTAGTGGCTGTGCAAATGGGTTCGGAATCCATTTTGCGAACCCGTTTGCGCTTCCTCCTACACTTGTTTACGAATGTCTCACGAATTTTTCCTCCTTTTTAATTCGTCAATAGAAAATTGCAGAGAAAAAGAGTTTTGAATTCTTTCCCAGACATCATTAACAGTCATGCTGTTTTTATGGGATTTCTTTTGATGAAGATACGCTACACCGTAGACGTCACGATCTATGAAAATAGCGAAACGTCCGTTGCCTGCGCAATCCTGGGCGCAACTGGTCACTAGACATGTGTAAGTAATGCGAGTGATATTACTCGGGTAATATTACTCTACGATGTAATGCAACATCACACATTACGCGAAGGAAACAAACATCACACTATCACCCAACATGTTTCTTTCTTTGTCGTGTAATGTTGCTTAATACACGAACGGAACCGAGCGAGCGAGACAGACCGATCGACGCAAAATAAATGAGCAAGCGACACGGAATTATTCCTAGTGATTTTGAACCGTATGTCCTGGCCGCTAGGTACATTTTTATACCTATGGTACGTCTGAATTTTAATATAGGTATTTGTGTTTATATTTTTCATGCGGCCAGCCGGTAGCTCCCCGCAAGTACTTACTTAATTTTTTATTCGCAACTTTTGTAAAATCGCTAGTCGCTCGTAATTGTTTAGTAATATTTCATATTAATTTTTGTGTTTGATTTGAATTACTTAAGCACTTGTTTGAAGATAGTTTTATTATTTGTTTTAATGCGTGTTTAATAAGTGAAAGAAATAACGGCGTCTAAATGAAAGTACAGTCCTCCTTGGATGCACTTTGAGGATATCGCGCCGAAACAATGCATCTACTGCTCTCGTATATTAACATTATTGTCGAGCTCAATTTGCAGTCTAAGTCGCCATATGAAATCCGTTCATCCCACAATAAATTATATTAAGTAAAAAATAAAATTATTATATTATTAAGTAAGTCAATCTGTCAAGTAATATAACAGTGTATTACAATACAAAGTTCATACTTTGTATTGTAATACACTACTGTAATGACACACCCGAATCATTACCTAAGTGATGTGTTTATACACATCACTTAGGTAATGATTGATGAAAACATTACACATCACTCTTAACATTACTCGGTGCGTTCAATAGATACTGTGACGACGAATACATTGTATCTATACACCCGAATCATTACCTAAGTGATGTGTTTATACACATCACTTTGAACGCACCGAGTAATGTTATGAGTGATGTGTAATGTTTTCGAGTAATATCACCTATCTGTAAAAGTGATGTCATATCACATTACATTGGGAAGTGATGTTTTGCGCAAGTCTACTGGTCACACGAATGTGTGGGAGACTACGCGAAGGATCGCGGTTCGCGCGCTTTGATCTCTGTTTTAAAAATCGACACAGCTTTGAAAACCACGAATGCAGCGAAAACTTTGCATAATAATTTGCAAATGTCGTCCTACACTCGCGGGTTTGCGTACTCGTGCGAATGTGAGTGACCGGTATAAAATTATATTACTTAAATTTTTAGGGGAGGATAAACACAAAAAGGGCTCATCATTCAAGCACTTTAGATAAAATTAGATTTTATGAGAGAGTAATGTCCAACTAATAATTTAAATATTTGTTGCTAATTGTAATAATAATATTGTAATTGTGAATCATAATATCTGAGCCGCATGAAACTCCTGTGGTGATGAGGATATTCATCAGTAGTTTCTTGTGAACTCAGATTGAGCGAAAAGATCATAGACAAAATAACCTAAAATGTTTGCCACTACTTAAAATCAGATTTGGCGTCTCTTTCGCATTTCATTTTACTCTTTCTGGAGTGTCTTGAATGTTGAATGTGACATGGCGTCCATCAAGATATAATACGGCCTTCTGAAAGGACTGTTTCTATGACAGTGGAATTATTTTGCATTTTACTGAGGCCGTAATAAATCGTACATTTGCATTGATGGTAATGCATGCAAGGAAACCACAGCGGATAAGCGATGGGTACGGTATAGCTATAACTGCTTGGGCTTAACATTCCCAGAATATGTACATGGCGGTCGCCGATTAAGTTTTGCTGTAATTTGGTTAAATTTTGATGATTAATTTTGTTTCCAGGTACTTTGAGAAGCATCAGGCCCATCCGTATCAGGTAAGCTTGCACACAAAACAATGCTGGAAGTAAGCCTGTTCATTGTAAAATTGAAATCAAACCGGAGTTTGGCGAGTTATGTACTTCTCTACGTAATAACTGTTCTCGATAATTATCCTGTCTTAGATGGTTAATAAAAGCAACCGTATCCCACAAAATTAGGCGTAGGTATCCATTAAAAACAACAAATATACTTAAATTGGAGTACTAATCCAATTACATGGTTATGTTGACTTTCGGGGATGTTTATTATATTTTAAGTTCTAAATGTTGAAGTGACATCCTGAATTTATTTTTCATCATAATGTACTATAATACTTCTAGATATATCGTATTTGATCATAGCTTTAGTGAATATTGAATATATGATTTTATGTATTACAACAGAAATACAACTCTAAAAGTGAACGAAGAGTCGCAAATGAATATGTATCTTCTGACAATCGGTACACACCACTTCGATCACCTAATGGCAATGTGTCCTCACATGGCCATAACACACATTCAAGCCAGTCCAGTCATAGTCATCACCACTACAGTCATATGGCAGATGATAGAGGATATGTCACATCTAGAAATTCCTATATTCAGAAAATCCCCGAAAAGGAGAGAGATAGAGACTACAAATCCTCTAGGAGTAAGTACACAGGTATGTCATTCATTGTTTGTTTTTAACCAAATTATAAAGACCTGATTTTATGAACAGTTTGATATATGAAATGCAATATATTTGTTCTGAAATAGTAACATTGGGAGATGAATGTTTGTTACTTATTATGCCTGTATTTCTAGATTAGTTAATTTAATTATTTTGAGTGAAATAGTAAGTACAAAAGCCAGTAAATAAATTAAAAAGACTAGTGCTTATTAATTGATTTAAATATAATTTTGCATAAAGATCACTTTAAACTAGGCCTTTGCTGAGTATTCGTCATAACTGCGTGAATTCTTATGCCATTGCGATTGCTTTTTGTATAGAAATATGGCAAAAGCGAATATTCATCAATTAGATAACACTGAGGTAACTTTGTCAATTTGAAACGATTTTCAGATAGCGTTCGTTCACCAAAAGAGCGCATTAAAGATTGTGAGAGAGAAAGAAGTAATCATGAGCGAAATGAATCAGAGAAAAAAATTCGAACTAGCGGCATGAACATTAGTGTTAGTAAGAGTAATAAATATGATAAAAGAAGTGTACCTTCCTCTAGTGTACCTTCTGGAAGTGAATGGTCAGAACACATTAGTTCATCAGGCAAGAAGTATTATTATAACTGTATCAGTGAAGTGTCACAGTGGGAGAAACCTAGAGAGTGGGAGCCCAGAAGGACATCATCCAAAGATTCTAATTATTCCTCCAGAAACAGTAAGTTGAATCATATTTAATTTTAATATTATCAATAGTTGATAGTTTATATTTTACCAATATAAAAAAAAAATTATCAGCAAAGGCACTATTTTCATACTTAATATGACTGAAACAATTTTACTTAAAAATTAAAGAATACATGAACTTAACCACAAAAATGTGTACATTTCAGTATACTAAACTTTTATTTGAGATTAGTCAATTTTTTGGATAAATTAGAGAGCCAAAATCAAATGATTAATTGTATTGTGAAATTGAAAGATTTTCATGCCACCAAAGTAGATTACAATTAGTTTGAATATTATAGTTTTTTTTTAATAATTATAAAAGTCGATTGATATCTTCAGATAGAATATTGATTCAATATTTTATTAATCAACAAAAAGGAGATTGTTCACTAGTATTTAGAAATTGTTTATCATTTACCATGTTCCAAAGATTGATTCCTTTTTATAAAAGATACCAATTTACAATCATTAAAAATAGAAATAGCTGTATGACAATACTAAAAAGTTAATATAAGAGTCACACTGAAGAAGATACATTGCAGTGCATTAAAACATCTGTCATTTTCATTACCTAAAATAAGGGTGTCCCAATTTTCATTTTGCGCATTATGTTATATACTTGCTATAATGTGACTGTTACTTCTACCAAAAGTAAACCTTCGAAGTTTAAATGATCCATTTCTAAGTATATTACTAAAATCTTATAATTTTTACCATAGTATATATAATAGCTAAAGCTCTCTTATATTCTAGCACTCTTACACAACCATCTTAAGTGAGGTAAAATTGTAATTGACAGCCAATTTGGCTCAGATGTCATTATCAGTCCCTAAAAAACAAAAAATATTATTATTATTCTTTCTTAAAATCTCTTATTTCAACTTAGGTGATATGACACTACTTGTAACATGTAAAAAAATTTATTATAATCAGTTGCTAAAATGAAAATAACTATAAAGAAAGAGCACTATTTCCTAATTACTATGTTCACCACTAAAATGTTTTAGTCTGAAACCACTTTACTCTACAAATATTTCTTGAAAGCTTTCTGAATGCTCTAAAGGTGTAGTGTAGGGGTCTTGTTAACAAGGACATAATAGATTTGAGAAAATTATTGTAATTTTACATAAAAATGTACCAAATCCATCATTAGGTTCATATAAACATGCTGAATATTCTGAATGTTCTCAATATTAAGAAACTAGGAAAATCATTATAATTTTACATAAAAACAATCCATAGCCGTCATTAGGTTCTTATAAACACTCTGAATATTCTGGACATTCAATAATCAATCATAATGGCAACCAAAGACATAAAAGTGGAAATATTTTTTACCATATATGCTTCCGAACTAAGTATTCGCTAACTAGGTAATACCTAATATCAGAAGACCTTACTGCACCCTTTAAATTTGTATATGAAGAAAAACAATTCAACACTTTCCATGTATTTTCCACAAAATTTAAACTCTTAGGTACATTTGAAATATCTAACAATAAAGCTTAATATTATAATATGGATATTTATAAATAATTAAATAGGATCCAAATGATATGGGTAACAAAACAAAAAAAAATATACTGTACTAATAAACATCCATCTTAAAAAATCTTATAAAACCGAAAAACATTGCCTTTTGTTTTTTTTTCTACTTAAGCTGAGAGCCTTGATAAGCTATTTTTCAGCGTAACCTCAACTAGTAGGTGAGCTCACGGGGCTCAAACCTGAAAAAAACATTGCTCTTGGAATATGAACCAATACACAATACACAAAAAATAGCATCTGCAAAGGATTGTGTCAAATACATATGTATGCATTGACATTTTGTGTGTCTGTAATCCCCATTAGGCCAATCAGAAAATGCAAGACTGCCTTCTAAAAATTATTCCATCTTTACTTTATTTGCAATTTTTGTATTTATGTATGACCAAATTTCTTCTACAACTCTGTACTGTTAACTAAAATATTATTTTAGCAGGTGAAAGACCATGCAAGAATGATTCTTTAATAGAAATGAAAAAATCTAAAAACTTATTGTAACAATAAAAACATAAGAAGTCGTCTTTTAGAAGTCGTTGTGGTCTAAAAGATAAGACGTCCAGTGGATTCGTGTTGAATGATGCACCGGAGTTCGAATCTCAGATGGGTACAAATTTTTCTAATGAAATACGTACTCAACAAATGTTCACGATTGACTTCCACGGTGAAGGAATAACATCGTGTAATAAAAATCAAACCTGCATAATTATAATTTGCGTAATTACTGGTGGTAGGACCTCTTGTGAGTCCGCACGGGTAGGTACCACCACCCTGCCTATTTCTACCGTGAAGCAGTAATGCGTTTCGGTTTGAAGGGTGGGGCAACCGTTGTAACTATACTGAGACCTTAGAACTTATATTTCAAGGTGGGTGGCGCATTTACGTTGTAGATGTCTATGGGCTCGAGTAACCACTTAACATCAGGTGGGCTGTGAGCTCGTCCATCCATCTAAGTAATAAAAAAAAAGAACATAAAGATCCCAGTAAGAAAAAGATGTTTTTCATTAGATATTTCAAAAATAATATTTTTTTAGTAAAAGTTTTGGAGCCTTTAAATTTTATACATTATAGAATCTATATGAGCCTGTTGCAAAATTTATTGTGTAAAAAAGAAAAAAGTACTTCATAAAATAAACTAGCTATGAAATAATTTTTAAATTATTGATCTAAGAAATTATATAGTCTAGAGTTGTCACCTAAAGAAAAACGAAGTGTCACACACTTCATATAATTAATATTGATTGAGTCATCATTTCAAAAGTAATGCAATAGCAATAGCAAAGATGTTAAGTCACAATGTACCAGTTGTCAGTGACATATTTCGAAATTCTTAGTTTTCATTAATTTTCATCATTTCAATGAAAAGGTTTTTATAGTCATCTTTCTCTAATGAACAATCTGTCTAAAAAATTGTCTAGTTTTTTTTTTTTAAAGAAACTTCTTCTTTTTCTTCTTTGTCGTTTCCTCATTACTGAGGGTCGTGACCACCTTGGTCCAGTTTTTGCACCAGCTTCCTCCAATGTTGCCTGCATTCGGCCTGCTTAATGGCCTAAAGAAACTAGACAAGTAAAAACTCTCGTAACTCGCTTGATTCTAGTAGGGGTTAAAGTATGAAATAGACCATTTGTACTGAAATTGAAATTGTTTTTTATTTATTTAACATATTTATTTAATCAAAATTAACCATTATTATCTATACATTGCTGCCATCTAATAAGGAAGGTCATTTATGCCTTTGCGATAGAACTCTGGTGATCTAGATTCTACAAACTGTGTGAAAGCATTTTGTATTGCCTCCTAGGAAGAAAACTTTTTATCACACAGAAAATTGTCGAAATCACGAAAAAAATAGTAGACCTTTGGAGCAAGGTCTCGTGAATACGGAGGGTGACGAATGATTTTTAATTGCAATTCCAGTAGAGTTAAAACGGTTTCTCGTGCTGAATGAGGTCTCGCGTTATCATGGAGCAATAATGGTGAAGATAGATTCACGAGTCGGGGCTGTTTCACTGCAAGTTTTGCTATCATTGTTCGGAGTTCGGCACAGTAGACATCTGCCGTTATTGCTTGACCAGATCGGAGAAAGCTATAGTGAATAACACCATGCTGAGACCACTAAACAGTTACCATTACTTTTTTATTGGTAAGCTTTGCTTTAGGACACTGTTGCGGCGTTTGACCTGGGGTCAGCCATTTCATTTTTCGCTTACGGTTATCGTAAAGAATCCACTTTTCATCAATTCGATCCAATATTCCTTCATTTCTGTATCAACAAGGCAACACAAGTTTCAAACACGCGTTTCTTTGTCATATTTATTTTATTTTATTGATTTGACGCAAATGAGTCAATATTGTTGGTAAGGAATAGGAGTGGGTGATATAAATCGTATATAGATTCAATATCTATATATCGCAGCAATATCGTTGAATCCGATATCGCCCCGCACGAAATCTATATATCGATATCAGCCGATACACGATATTGCTCGATGTGATGCGCATCGCCATATCGTACCGATTCGTGAATCGAAATCTATATTTCGATATCAGCCGATACACGATATTGCTCGATGTGATGCGCATCGGCATATCGTACCGATTCGTTAATATCAGCAATATTCGTTTGGTTCGTATCGAATCGGCCAGAGTGAGTGAGCGCACGATAGGGATATCATGTGATGAATGAAACAGAAACAGGCATTATCCATACAATTGTAAACCTTATATTTAAGTCCATATGTCTGTAGATTATTCTTAGCGTATCAGCAGGATACAATTAAGGAAAGAAGTTTCAACTTTCGACCCTAACTTGAATGCAGTATAGCCTATTTGCATCGTTGAATTTAATTTCACGCGCTTTGACCTTGAACTAGAATTTTTGGACAAGTGTTTATAAATACTTAAAAGTTTTTTGTGTTTGATTTTTAAAGTACACATTTTTCTATTTTTAGTTGAATCCAAATAATTGAGTTTATTTCTTGTGTTTGTATTAAACTTTTGAAATCTACACTCTTTTGGTATATTTTGTAATTTTAAATTAAGACACAAAATACTAAAAACTGAAAATAATGTAGCCAGTCCTAAGCCTGGTAAAAGCATGAAGGAAAGTTTTTTTGATATTTTTATTTTCATGTTCTTTTTATTACTTTAAGATCATATTATAAATTGATATCAGAAAACCAACCGTATAACGTTGACTTAAATCTATATCTACTACGATATTATATCAGCGTATCGTTTCAAATCTCAAATATCATGAATCGAGAAAATCTACTAGCATCCATCAATATATAGATTCAGAAAATATATAGATTCAATATCCGATATTGATCCTCGATATATACATACGATTCGATACGCGGCAAAACCGATATTACCCACTCCTAGTAAGGAACGTTAAACCATGCCGCTAATTCCTGGGTAGTTTGGCTCGGATCGGCTTCCATT